CGTGGCGTCACCGGGAGCGGCGCCGCCGTGGCGTCACCGGGGGCGGGAGCGCGCGCCCACGTGGGAGGGGGATCCCCGCCCGGTGCGGGGCAGGGGGGGGCCGGTGCGGGGGTTCCCCCCCCGGTGGCGCCTCCCGGGAGGGTGGGGGGGTCCCGGTACTGAGCGGGGGGTCCCCGTCCAGCCGGACCGGTCTCAGGGGGTCCCGGTACAGATCCGGGGGTCCCGGTACAGCCATCTCAGCCCCATGGGGGTCCCGGTGGGTCCCGGTGTCCCGCTCCCCGGGGCCCGTCCCGCGCGGTGCGTACCTGGGGGGGGCGGGGGCGGCCGCACCAGCCCCGGTGCCCGCCCGGCCCGGTGCGCTGCGGTGCCGGTGGCGGAGCCGGGCGGGGCGCAGGTGCTCCCGGCCCCGCGTGATGTCAGCGGCCGCCGCCGCCCCCTCCGCCACCGGGGACGCGCCGCCATTTAAAGGGACCGCGGCCCTCCGTGGCGGGGGTGGGTGGAGGCGGCGGGGGCACCCCCGCACCGGGACCGCGCCGCGGGACACCCCCGCGACCCCCCGATCCTCCGTGGGGCTGAGCCCAGCCCGTCACCGGGGGGTCACCGACGGAGCGGGGGGTCGGGGGCTGTCCCGGTGCCCCCGGCGTGGGTGTCCCGCAGGCCCGCACCGGGAGGGCCGGGCCGGCGCGGCCCCGGGGACCCCGCGGACAAAGCGGCAGCTGCCGGGGCCGGGCCGGCTCTTTGTGCTGTGAAATGGTGGAGCTGGAACGGGGCGGGGTGGGGCTCGTGGGGGGAAGGAACGATGGGGTCAGGGACAGACAGATGGACACCGGGCTAGGGACAGGCACGGGACCAGCATCTGTCACCTCCTGGGCTGTCCCAGGGGGACAGTTCTGAGGACCCCACGGGAGAAGGGACCCCCCCTCCTGGCGACCCCACAGGGTAAGGGGGGGCTCTTCCCCCTCCTGGGGAACCCCAAGGCCGGGGGTCCTGGCGCTGCTGCAGCAGCTGAGCCCAGAACCCAACACGGGGTTGGGGGGCCTCAGGGAACCCCAGCCTTGCCTTCCTGCGTGCAGGGAGTCACAGGACCCTGACCCCTCCAGACCCCTCACACCAGGAGCCACAGCACACAGAGCCTGGGAACGTTTTCGCCGATGTTTTATTGGAAATGTTAAATACTGGGGGTCCGGCCCCAGCGGAGCCGGGGGGTTTGGGGGGGCTCAGGCATGCTCCTCTGCCAGCTTCTCTGCCTTGGCCACGGCCTCCTCGATGGGCCCCACCATGTAGAAGGCCTGCTCGGGCAGGTGGTCGTATTCACCTGGGGGGAGACACCGTGTCAGGGGGCAGTGGGGGGGCCCAACCAGGCTCCCCTAGTCCCCGGGGGGCCACCTCACCTGCCAGGATCTGCTTGAAGCCCTTGATGGTCTCCTTCAGAGGCACCAACTTGCCCATGTGGCCGGTGAAGACCTCGGCCACCTGGAAGGGCTGGGACAGGAACCGCTGGATCTTGCGGGCACGGGCCACTGTCAGCTTGTCCTCCTCGGACAGCTCGTCCATGCCCAGGATGGCAATGATGTCTTGCAGTGACTTGTAGTCCTGGGGGGACACACGGGGGGTGAGCAGCCAGCACTGACCCCCAGCACCTCACGGGGGGCTGCCCGGCCCCCCCTCACCTGCAGGATCTTCTGCACGCCCCGGGCCACGTCGTAGTGCTCGGGGCCCACGATGTTGGGGTCCATGATGCGGGAGGTGGAGTCCAGGGGGTCCACGGCCGGGTAGATGCCCAGCTCGGCGATGGCACGGGACAGCACCGTGGTGGCATCCAAGTGGGCGAAGGTGGTGGCGGGGGCAGGGTCAGTCAAGTCGTCGGCGGGCACGTAGATGGCCTGGGGGGAAGGGAGGGGACGGTGGGCCCCCAGCAGGTGACGTGGTCTCCCAGGGACCCCCCGGCCGGCCCTGCCCTCACCTGCACCGAGGTGATGGAGCCCTTGCGGGTGGTGGTGATCCGCTCCTGCATGGTGCCCATGTCGGTGGCCAGCGTGGGCTGGTAGCCCACGGCCGAGGGGATTCTGCCCAGCAGGGCCGACACCTGCACGGGGACAGAGCGTGAGGGGCTGTGCCGGTGTGGGGCAGGGGCACCCCCCGTGCCCAGCACAGACCTCAGAGCCAGCCTGGGTGAAGCGGAAGATGTTGTCGATGAAGAGCAGCACGTCCTGGCCCTCCTGGTCCCTGAAGTACTCGGCCACCGTCAGCCCCGTCAGGGCCACCCTGGCACGGGCGCCCGGGGGCTCGTTCATCTGCCCGTAGACCAGGGCGACCTGCGGGTGGGACCCCCAGGTCAGCACGGTGTCCCTCTGGCACCCCTGCATCCCCCCACCACCGCCCCAAGAGACCCAGCACCCCCCGGGGGACCCTGCACACCTTGGAAGTGGCATCTTTCAGGTTGATGACCCCAGACTCGATCATCTCATGGTACAAGTCGTTGCCCTCGCGGGTTCTCTCGCCCACGCCAGCGAACACCGAGTAACCACCGTGGGCCTTGGCCACGTTGTTGATCAGCTCCATGATCAGCACAGTCTTGCCGACGCCAGCACCTCCAAACAAACCTGGGAGGGGGGAGTGGGGGTCCTGCTCAGCCCTGAGCCAGCCCAGCTGCCCCCAGGGTCTCCCTTCAGCCCTTTCCTCCTCAGATGGAAAAAAGCGTTGCTTCAGCAAGCTCAGGAGAACGAAAGTCAAGGAGTGGATCATCAGTGAAGGAAAGTACCCCAGGGGGACCATCAGGAGCTTTAAGGGGGCTCGCAGGTGCCCCCTCCCCAGACCCCCCTCCCACTCTGGGGGTCACGTACCAATCTTGCCTCCCTTGGCATAGGGAGCCAGCAGATCCACGACCTTGATCCCCGTCACCAGGATCTCCTGCTCAACGCTCATCTCCACGAACTCAGGGGCCTCGGCGTGGATAGCAGCAAACCTGGAGCGGGAAGGGGAGAG